TTAAACTTGACAAGAACAACTGAGACAAAATAGAAAATAATGCAAAATTCAATGTAAAATAAAAAGTGTAACAATTTTCTTTGTCGGTAAATTGGCATTTGTAAAAGTTAAAAAAAGAGGTCATGTAAGAACTACGAGTATACTCTATAATAACAAAACAAGTACACATTCTAGTTTGATGCTCGTTTTGCGGTAATTTTGGATATGTCATTAAGCTATAAACTTTGTGTCACTCTTAGATTAATTTAATTTGTGGAATTCAAAAAATGCTTTATCAAATGACTACTTTATATCATGTAAGAACTACGAGTACTCTTACCATAATAACAAAACAAGTACACTTTTTTCGTTCGAAATTCTTGTTTGTTGCTCGTTTTCCGGTAATTGTAGCTATGTTATCTACAAATAAAACAAAATATAAAATGTCCTGACCTCTATCTTTACACTGTGGTGAATTCTTTTCTTCCATAATTTTTTGTTTCCTTTTTACAATTTTTACAACAACAACAAAAAAAGATAGTTAAAAAGCTCGTTTAAAAAAGTCATCATGGTGCAAGTAACGTGTGATTTGAAAGCTCGACCAATCAGAAACCCGAGGTACACCGGGCGGATGACACTTTTAGCGTTACGCACAGGGTTCCCATGCGATGACCATGAATAGATCTGAGTTGGATAGTGTAATATTTTGCCCAATCCATTGTTAATATTAAGGTATGCAAAGGCAACTCTGGTCTGGAACAAATCCTGGCCGGAGAGCAATAGATGGGAAAGAATGTGGATCAACCCGGCTTGCTCGTGGGCGGGTGGGTGGGTCAAAAAACGTACACTTCTTCATCGGTGGTTTAATGAGAGTGATTTATTCATGGCGTCCTTTCCCTTTTGTGTTAGTATAAAGTCCGTGAGAATCCATACTAACAATTCCTCTGGGACTGAATTTACATATTCAAGTTGACTATGAATAGTTTACCACATTTTCTATACCTATGGTGGCCCGCGCGGGAGCTCCGCTATAAACTTACAAATAATATAAATAAATATATGATTAATAATTTAGATGTTTTGTACATGGTGCAAGAGAGGAACCTGAAAGGTTAAAAAAGCAGTCTTGCACCCTAAATGAAACGGAAGAAAAAAATCTATATAATATGAAAGAATTATATAAATAACATCATATCATAGAATACAATTTTTTAAAAATAATTGATAAAGAGGTACAGGAATAGTGTTCACGATACTTTAATCCAAGATGGCGGCTCTGGTCAGCCTTTTAAGCTCTCTGGGAAAGTTAGTTCATATAGTTTTCTTCCTTATCGTTGTGTCTCAACTTAAATCCCAATTTTTATATAATAAGTCAAATCATCTTTCAAACAAAGTCACTGAACTTCAAGTGGCTATGGAACTTTCCAATCCTGTGATATATGGTAAACTTTGGTTGAGAGGTAGTATTCCAAGCCTATAAGTCTCCCTAAAACGGCGAAAATCAAAATTTCCTCCGTTCATAAAATAATAACGTCCCAATAAGTATTTCAGTTATTTTGTGATTAATAGTAGTCCATTTGCTATGACGTTGCAAAGTTTGAAGAACATCGGCATCTATTCCGGTCACGCGCCCGCGTACAAATGCAGCGGTGTCGCTATAAAGTGTTAGGCGAGTTAAGTCAGATTTTACAAAGAAATGTATAGAGAGTCCAGATAGTTTTCGATTTATAAATTTCTGTGTAAACAGTTTTCCACTTGCCGGGGTAGAAGATCAATATATAACATTAAAGCATTTGATTTTTACCAAACATACTTTAATTTGCTTGGAAATACCTTTTCGTCTCGATAGTTAGATTTTAACAGCCTTCTTGCCATATGTGCTTTGTTAAATTGCAAGAGCACAAAAGGTCAAATATTATAAACAACATTTCTCAAAATCAGAGCTAGTTACCTCATTTGCCGGGGTCGATCCTTAAAATATACACATTCTAAATTACTGATGTCGAATCTGTGGTCGATTGAACGAATTTATACTTTTCGTTTTTTACTTTCAAAAGCTCCGATTTGAGACGAGTATTTGTGAGACGAGTATTTGTGAGATGCTTTCTTCAAGAATAGGCACTTTGTGAAGTAAAAACCTTGAAAATTATTCGCAAAATACGGCATGTTTGGTACCAAAATAAAGCTTGAATCCTCAGCTCTCGTTTGCCATCATTTGTAATAGGATATCTTTTAAAGCACAGAATACCGTAGCAAAAAGTTTTGTTTCTCTAAGTCCGGGCCTTAGAGAGCTTGGGCTTCCTGTGGTTTTTATTTTATACATTATATCCGCTGACTTGCCGAGCGGCGCATGGCAGGAATAGTTGGCGATGTATTGATTATTCAAGGTCTGCTCACGTTGTTAGGTTTTTAGGCTAATTTTTTAAAGCCTAATTTACCAAAGCTAAGTGTGGCTCAACTAAGCAATCTGGTTTTGTGTTCTTTTATCATGACTCTGGACGTTTTACAGGAATTTACTTAACAAGTATCCGTAAAACTAGTAAAGAAAGAAAGAGCTAAATTACCTGAAAATCGTATCGAGTTCAAACATATACCATNGTTACGTAATAAAGAATCATTTGTACGATTTGTACAATTACAATAACAACTTGTTAAATCACGGATAAAATACTATTACATTTGAATATATAATGGCTATATGTAGATTATATGAATATGAATATTTAGCGTTCATACCTTGTCCAGTGGGCTTAGAGTAGCGACGAAGCTCAACCAGCACGAAGCTCAAACACGAGTAGACTCACTGTATTAAATTACTAAGCTTGATTGATTGGTTGATTGTAAGGGAAATAATTAATGTTTAATCAAAGTGAGCGAGTGTAGACTCGGTCACACTAAGTTCAAATCTTGTCTAGGTGGAAAGGGGCTTTTATTTGATTTAGAACGAGCTAGGAAAATAGTTATGAACTTGTGATAAATCAGTGAGATAGTCATAAAAATATCTCGTAAGCAATTAGTAGTGTGTTGAAAGACTAACTCACCTAATTGAAGATTCGCTTTAACAAATAGACATCAGTTTTTTATGTGTCTGTCCTGTTATTGACGATAAATTGTGCTATCACATTGTCAATGTAGTGTACGAGGCGTAGCCGATAAAAAATGATAGAAATACCCAATCAGCGCGCAAGAAATGTGTATGTTATTGTAAAAAATGCTAGATACAAGCATTTCATATTCATACGTGCATGACAGAGCAAATATCATTATGGTTTAAACTGTTTCAGCAAATTTTAGTTATTGCGAAAGCACTACCTTCGTCACTTCCATTACAATTGTTTTAGTCGACAAATTTGAATGTAAATATGAAGTTTATTCGACGGAGAGTGGCCAATGGCAGTTATTATGGATGCATGCAAATGAGATGCAAATGACAGAACAAGCATTGTATCGGCGCGATAACCTCACTTGTATGATTCTCAAAGCAAAAGAATTTTTTCACTGCGGGCATAACGGTAATAACAGCTATTCAGCATCCTGCTGGTATCCGTTCAGGAAATCACACGCAGGAAAAAGGCTAGTTTGCGTGAGTGCTAGCCTTTCCGCGCTAACCCCATCATTTTGTGTAGAAATAACTTGAGTAACACTTGTCTGAATCAATGTGTAACACGATTTAAAAGCGTTAAGTCTGGTTTTCGCAAGCAAAATTGCACTGGCAATGACATACGTCAGCCGGCACAATAGTCCTTAGTCAACCCCTCTATATTTCGATAGATCAGAACATTCTGTAAACATATCGACGCATGATATTGAAGGGTTATTGTGTTTGTTTTCAGGTATGATGCACAGCTTAAAGATTGGAGCCGTTTTTCTTCTCGTAATTGTGATCCCTACCACCAGCACTAACAGCATAGATCAAGGTAGGAATGAAAGGAGCATAACACGATATAGATTGGACCGATTAGCGAACACCTTGTATATTTGCTCAATAAAAACATGTGTGTTGCGATAAAAAAAAATAACTATAAACATGTATTACATATTTTCATGTTTGTGAAAATTTTCTTGTACCAACTTAACAAGCGCATGCGCAAAGATTGTTCGAGCTACTGACTCTGACGAAAATTCAAATTCCTATGTACCACATGTGTTAGCGCCTGTAAAAAGATGGTATAGAAGGTCACTATGTATTCGGATGAATAATTAACGGGATAACTGGGCGGATAGGTAAATAGGTAGATGAAAGAATGGATTGAAAAACCTGTTTGCTCAGTTGGTTGAGCTTCGGACTTTCGTGCGGGAGGTCGTGGTTCGAGTCCCGGCCGGACCAACACTCAGGGTCTTAAAATAACTGAGGAGAAAGTGCTGCCTTTGTAATTACATCTGCAAATGGCTAGACTTTCAAGTGGCTCGGATGACCACTTTAAATGGCAGTCCCGTCTCTCCACACTTATCAATCCTAAATTGCTACCCAACATTGGAGGGACGTAAAAGGACTTAACCACCGAGGACGTAATGAAACCCTGGCAGTGAACACCCTCAGTGCCTACACTTCATACTAACCATCTCTCATGCTTGTAAATTGCATAAATTAAAGCAATCTGTCATTCACAACTCAATGTAAAGCGCCTTTGATTATTTTCATATAGAAAGGGCGTAATATAAACCATAAATCGTCAAATCATCATTGATGGATGGATGGAAGGACAAATAAATGGATGAGAGCATGAGTGGGTGCGGTTGGATGCATGATTGGGTAAATGAATAGGAGGATAAATAAACGAGATAGTTAGTGGTTGGGAGTTGGGAGTTGGCGTTATTGTTTATTGGATTCAAGGATTTCCTTAGCTAGATTGCCATCATATCATCTAATATCATTGATTTCAGTTTCTTTTGAATCTTTTATTTCTAGATTTTGCGTCAGCTCCGCACAACGTAACTGCGTCACCTGACGGTGGTGGTTTTAAATCTTACATTACCTTAACCTGGTTAGAACCCAAACGTATTAACGGCACGATCACCAGCTATATGATATTGTACGGCAGAACTGATGGCATTTCTGGTAACCATATTACAATTGCTAATTCCAATAAAAGAAGTGTTACTATCTACCACCTTCTGCCATACCGATACTACACATTGTATATCAGAGCCAAAACGTCTCTTGGTTATGGGCGGTGGAGTTCTCCTGTGACTGTATGGACCCCTGAAGGAGGTACTTGTTCTCTGTAGAGTAATAAGGCAATTGCACTAACAGGTCACACGACCATACCTCCCTTAAAACTAGTAGTCGTTCAATAGTCCCATTCACAGTTTCCTGCACCATCTTGAAAGGTAGCCCTGCCTTTGCATCGAAGTGAGAGGAACGGTGAGTTTGCAATGATAGAGGCGTGTGAAATAATTGTCCAAGGTGTTAAAAAAGGTCTATATCATTGCAAGCTCTTGTTCGCCTCGCTTTGATGCAAAGGCACGGCTACCTTTCAAGATGGCTGCATTTTTTTAACATTTCGGTGACGCATTGCATTGCAATCTTACTTGACAACCGTTTCGGCCACGTTTATCGTATTTTGTTCCAAGGAAAAGAAACAGCCATTATGAGATGTACAGAATTTGTAATTTTCCGTTCTTATTTGATTCTTGATACCTCTATTTCTTTTTGTTGTAAAGTTTTGTTTGCCTAAATAAAACTATGTTAAGACTACCAAATGAGCTGAAAATGAGAGCTTAGAGTATCATAAGACGTTTCTTTTTCTTTATCAAAAAAGAACGGAAAGTACGACTAATAATAATAATAATAATAATAATAATAA